TGAAAGAGGCTGGTGATGACTCATGGGCCTATACTCTCACAGTCATTCCTCTGCGTGCATAATCTTCCATCAAGATTCCAGTGACATTTAGTATATATATTTAAAAATCAGCAGCAGCTTTTGGGGCCCCTCCCCCATGGAGTTCAGAGTTGCAAGTTTAATAAACCACAGAATTAACCTTTGTTTCTAAGGAACTTGCACCCTAGGCATCGCATATCACACCTGTCTATGACTATAGCTCACACAATTGCCATGGAGAGCTAGTGCGATAGAAGAGTTCAGACTCTGGACTGTAAATGCAGCATATACACATACAGGTCCTACAGCATTCACGCCATGTGGGAAGCTAGGCAGTCCTAGCTGCCATGCTGTATGGCACTCAGCATGAGGGTCTGAAATGATGCCCACATTTTCTACAACACCCATCTACCACTGTGGATACCAAAAATATGGCTGTGAATATTGTAAACTGTGACCCTGGCCATAGTGGAAGACAATTGAATAAAATCATAACTGGTATGGTATAAGTGACAAGTGATGTGGGATAATTAAGACAGTAATTTGGTATGGGACACAGGTATTAAAGATCCTGCTCGACACAGGGCGTCAGTGATAAGACAGAAGGAGATGATCTCAGCGGAGACTAGAGAAGGTGAGCAGGCATGCCAGCCAAGGCCACAGCTGGAAGAAGTAATGGCACTCACCTTGGCAGAGCGTTTGGGGTTCTACAGGGATGCCGAGAATGCTGAAGAAACCGGGAGTTGGGGAAGGGTAGAAGGAGGGGAGACAACATGGACTGGGACTCCAACTTCTACTTTGGGTGGCTTAGAGAAGCCTTGGAGGGTTCTTAGTGGGCAAGGACATAGTATGGCTCGGATTTCAAGAGAGTCATGTAGTCTATTGCATTCAGTTTAGGCTGTATGCGATAGCAAATATTGGCTGTCCATCTTGCTATATCTGGAATTAACTAAAACTCACACAGCTGGGTACACCTGAGGGACATTTTTCTCAGTTGTATTATTTGAGGTGGAAGATCCACCCTAAATGTGGATCCTTTGCCTTTCTATGAGGAGACAGACAGTGTTGTACTATTTGGACCAGAGCCTACAGACCACTCTGATAACTCCCCTTTTAATATAAACACATATGCACACATGCATGCATGCGCACACATGCATGGCGCACGCGCGCGCACACACACACACCCTAACTAATACACTTTGATGAGGGATATAGGTGGAGGCAGAGAAGTCTGTCCAGATGAGAGATGATGGTGGCAGGAAATGAAGGGAATGCAAAGACAGCAAGGAACACTCTTCACATTTTTTGAAGGTAAAGTTGATAGAATCTTCTGGTGAATTTGATGAAAAGAATGAAAAAAAAACCAAAACAAACAAAAACTAGAAGTAAGGTGTTTTGCCCCTAAAGCAAAGCTGGAAAGTGTGTTAACATCTAATAAGGTGAGAAAGAATCTAGGAGCTGGGGTGTGGTCATTTGTGATGCTCACCAGACATCTGATGAAGAAATGGAGCTGCAATTGGGTGTGTGCTCTGCAGTCTGTGGAGGATAAGACTGTGATATTTGATACTATGAACCTGGATAATTCAGGACAACTGGGGAAGAGTGCAGATGGAGAAGAGGAACAAAGATTGCACCAGGAGCACTCCAGTGACACAAAGGGTGAAAATGAGGAATCACAAAGAATTGCAAGAAAAGCAAGGGCAGGACTAGGAGAGGACAGTGTCTCAGATGCCAAGTGATGAGAGGTTCATGCACAAGGGAAGGTCAGCTATGCAGAACCACCCAGTGCACAGAGAGATCAAGACCAGTGGACCAGAGGAGAGGACTGGAGTCAATACTGTGGAGGCACAGCGGGGAGGAGAAAGCCTGGATGAGTGTGTGTAGCAAAGAGTGGAGAATGAGAAGTGGTGACAACATGGAGAGGCGACTCCAATGAAGAGTGTGCTGGCTAGCTTATGTCAACTCCATGCAAGCTAGAATTATCTGAAAGGAGGGAACCTGACTTGAGAAAAATGCCTCCATAATATCAAGCTGTAAGGGAATTTTCCTAATTAGTGATTATTGGAGGAGGGCCCAGCCCATTAAGGATGGAGCTGAACTGGGATGGCCCTGGGTTCTATAAGAAAGCAAGCTGAGCAAGCCAGTAAGCAGCACCCCTCCATGTTCTCTGCATCAGTCCTGCCTCCAGGCTCTTGATTTATTTGACTTCCTTTGGTAGTGAACAGCAATATGGAAGTGCAAGCCAAACAAATCCTTTCCTCCCCAACTTAACTTTGGCTATAGTGTTTCATTGCATGAATAGAAACCCAAACTAAGACAAAGAGTTTTGCTAAGGATGTGAGAAAAAGGAGGTGGTGTTAATCCACTGCAAATGGTCATTGCAGCCTCATATTTCACTGTTTCAAATGCTGAACAGAAACTAAGACAGCACAAAAGGTGGACCAAGCACTTTCCTGAAGCTCAGAGAAGAGCCATTCTCTGTGTATTTGTGATTCACAAAGTCAGCAGTTGCTTGAAATCTCTGATGAGGGGCCACAATGTAGAAGGCCGACTACATGCCTACTACATCATCTTTGAGGTTAGCTTTATCAGCTGCTTTGGCCAATGGAATGTGAACAAACACAGCCTAGGACTATTTGTGTGCTAACTCCAGGCCATCTTCTCCAATCATCTGCTTCTTCCATGAAGACATCACAGCTACTGCTGCTGTAGCTGAGGCTCCAGAATTGGACACCATGGAGAGTCTGTCTATCCCAGAGAGATGCTCAGGACAGAAGGCTATTGCTAATCCTCTCCATCATGCATTTTCACTTGCATGAATATGGCACTTAGGATCATCTGCTCTTGTAGCAAAGGCTAAGAGATGTGCTCTTGCCCTGCACTGGCCCTTTCCTCCAGGGCAATAGGCCTTGACATCCCTCACAATGTGGTAAGGTCCCAAGCCCCTAGTGAAAATGTACGTAAAGGGTGAAAGCCTGTCTACAGTTACTTTGTGGTAGAAGTCTAGAGTTAGTTCACAGTTTCTCTCTCTCTCTCTCTCTCTCTCTCTCTCTCTCTCTCTCTCTCTCTCTCTCTCTCTCTCTCTCTCTCATTGGCTGTGCTGCCAAAAGCTCTTTTATTGTGTTGACAGTCACTCCTGCCTCCCATCATACTCCCCAATGCCACTCTATGGAGTTATGGAGGAATAATCAAGAACACTAAGTCATTAAGTATCACAAAAGTGGAGCTTGGTGTCAGCCATCATATAAACCATAAATAATGTGAAATGACTGAGATCAAGTAGATAATGGCAGTTTTAATTGTGTGTGAGAGGCTTAGCTGTGTTACTTTTCAGTCTGAGATGTTCTATAACCTCTGCCCCAAAAGTCTCCAGGGCAAAGTGAACAACAATTGTCCTGCTCTGGTTTGCCACCTGGGAAGAAAAACCTTGATGGGGAAATGTTTCCATCAAATTGCCCACAGGCGAGTCTATGGAGCAGTTTCATGATCAATGATTGATGTGGGAGTGTCCATGGTGATGTGCTACCCCTGGGTATGTGGTCCTGAGTTGCATAAGAAAGCAGGTTGGGCAAGTCATGATCAACAAGTGAGTAAGCAGTATTCCCTGTGGCTTCTGCTTCAGTTCCTACCCCAAGTTCCTGTCTTGAGTTCCTATCCTGACTTCTGCCAGTTAGAGTGTGACTTGAGAGTTGTAAGCTAAAATAAGCCCTTGCTTCCACAAGTTGCTCTTGGTCATCGTGTTTGATCACAGCAATAGGAACCCTAAACAAGGCACTACCTCCTGCTTTTGCCTACTCCACAATTTCCCCCACTTGGGCTAGACATAAGTCTAACCACTGAACAGAGATCAGGAAGAGTAAAGGACACAACTCTGGGCCTTACTGCAGTTGAAGAGACAGGAGATACATGCAAACATTCAAGACAACAAGAATGAGAGCCTTAATCCCTTAAACATGATGTAGTACAGAATAAAGGGCAGTTGGGAGACCAGGTCTAGCCCTGACTCTGGTACTAGTTAATTAAGATTCCCCTCCAATTCTACACACATACTAGAAGGACAGAGCCACTAGGCAGCTTCCTGGGCTTTATGAATCTAAGATGCTATCAAGTAGCAAGAATGCACTCAAGTGGTCAGTACAGGGCAGATAGGAGGGCTACTTCTTAAAGGACAGTCTGTTTCCCTGCCTCTGGCCATGTGGCCACATGAGTCACAGGCTGGTGTTCTGACCTGAGACATACAATCTCAGCCAACAAACCCAGATTTCTTTCCTGATTCACAGATTGAACAGAATGAGATAAAAGAACCCTATAGACTCTATAGTACAGAGGCTGCTTCCCCAGGAGCAGGTTGCTCAGGTGTTGCTGCAGCCAAGAGGTGCCTGAAGCTCCTGAGCTCAGAGGTCGTGTCCATGAGGCTGATATCCTAGAGGGCAGCAAGTCTCCCCATACCCACTCCTGGGGAAGAAACCTGTTTTCCAGATGGCAGGTATCAGGTCTCTGTGTGCAGCTGAGGATGCCCCATGGGTGTGAAAAGAGGAAATGGCTGGGGACTGAGCTTTCAGAAGTCCAGTGATGCTTTCTTGACCTTCTTTGGGAAAATACTGAGAGCAGAATTAATCTCATGAGCTAAAGCAGATTAGGGGTTAGTCTTCTGTGGCCCAGGCTCCTCTGCTGTAAATATGTTTATTCCTATCTTGGCATGCAATACACACATAGCCTGAGGGGCCCTGTCTCTATGCAGGCTGTCTTCTTTGGGCTGTGTGACTAGTGGAAGTATTCTCTGGGTTTCTACAGAGTCTGGGCCTCATGTGTTTCGTGCATTTGCACGAGAACTTCAACTTTAAACCAGAGATTTGTCTATAAGAAAACTTGCCATTCATAGAAACCAGGTTCCTTCACAAAGTGCTCCTGACAGATCAGCAAAGGGGAGAGGGCAGTTATGAAAAGAACACTGTTGAGAGGAACGGGGCTTTACTTACTTGGGACTCCAGACACCAGCCGCAGGGGACGAAGCACGCGGAAAGCCCTCAGCGCCTTCACATCGAATCCAGCTCCTTTTCCTCCTAGAGCATTGGCCCCATCAGCTTTGGTTGCTTGTTCTAAAATTGCACTAAAAAGCCTGGAAGAGAGGGGAGAGAGGAGCCATCAGGACCTCAGCAGGTTGCTCAGCTGGGCTCCAGTCCAAGCACACAGCCTAGACGTCTGGGGTCTGTCACAGGTGTGGCCACTGGAGGCCCATGAAAGGCTACAAGTTGACATTCCATGAGCCAGTGTATCACACACATGGAGAGGGGACACTTACCACAGATAATCTGGGATCTTATCTGTCAGAATGTGTTGGTGTACTTGGTCTGGGTGAGCTAGGGTCCTGGTACAGTTGCCAAGGTACAGGGATTAAGCAGGGAAGTCTCCCCTCTCTCTTGGGTACTGTCATCACTGTTATGGAATCCAGCTTCCCTGCCAGGAGAGCTGGGAACCACCAACTCCCTGCCGGCTCCTCCGTCCTGATGCCCACCCTGGTGTGATTTGTTCCAGGGAACAAAAAACCTTAGGAATCACCTCGCTGTGCTCATAGCTGTCACCGAGGAGCCACATGGTGAACAAATGGATGGATGGCTAAAGGGATCATTGGGAGAGCTTCAAGCAGGACCCACCAACACGTGAAGGTACAATGCTAAAACGCACAGATTTCTGCACTGACAATGTGCCTTCGAGCACACATCTCTAACAAACACAAGCACCTACTGTGGGCAGGCACTGTACTAGGTACTTAGGTTGGAACAGAAGAGATGTATTCTGACCCTTGAGAGTTCATATCTCTAGGGGCAGTCGGGATCTGAGCTGTCAGTTACGAGACCTCGCAGAGTGTGACACTTGGGAAAAGGAGGGATCTGCAGTGACAAGGGTGATAGACCAGCCTTTGAACAGGTGACAGCTCAGAAAGAAACTCTGCTCTGGTGACATTTTATAAGAGGTTCAAAGACAGTGAGTGTGTGGCCTCTGCAGCTGTCTGGGGACCACACCAGGAGGTGAAGTGGTTGGGACAGTGATCCTGGGAGATGCAGCTAGGACAAAGAAGATGGAAGGCAGGTGAAATTGGATAGGAAGGAGGGGCCCCACAGGAACTGTGGGCAGGAAAGGGGCCCAGTCTGAGTGAAGTCTAACTACGTCCAGTGATGCCAGCAGAGGACTGCTGCAGTGGCCCAGTGACAGGCTGGGGCTCAGGCCGGCTAATTCTGGAGATGGGGAGCATCAGATACTGGGTTTATTTTTAAGATGAAGCTAGTAGGACTGGGCTGTTGGACTAGGATGGGATGTGGCGTACAAGCATCCACATTCGAGAAGTGACAGGAACAAGATGTGACTCAAACAGCTGGAGCATTCGGAAGGATGGGATGTGGCGGTACAGGCATCCACATTCTCCTGCCACCTTCTCCAAGTCTGGGCTGACCGGGGTATGTCTGATGGTTTTCTGAGATGGTGTTATGTCAGAAGAAGGTCTAGGAAAGAGACAACCCTGTCTTCTGTACAGGGTGTATTTAGGGTTGGACAATGTGAGGTCTGTTTGGAAGCTGTATGGGAAAGGACTGGGTCACAGGGTCCTCCCACATTCTGCAGGCAGGCAGGGAATAAATCAAAGGACAGTGAAGAGGAGTGGTTTGTGGGCAGGAGGCTTGGTGCTCCATGGAGACTACAGAAAGCAGGATGGCCATGGTCAACTGTCCAGAGCTGAAGACAAGCATGGGAAACTATCTGCTTCCTTTGGCACAACCAAGGCCACTGAAACCTAGAAAACAGCTCATTTGGGGAGTACGGGGGAAGGCCTGGTAAAGAGGCCCAGGAGAGAGTGGCAAAAGCTGGAGCCAGTGAGAATAGCAAGCCCTGCCTGAAAGAAACACAAGCAAGCCCAAATGGGAGCCAAGCGAGCAACCTTCCACGTAGCCACGCTAATAAAAATACAAGAAGGTGAAACTAACTATGGAGACACATTTTATCCAAACATACACCATCAAAATACAGCATCGGAACATGTAGTAAAAACAATGAGATATTTGTCATCCTTTGTTTTATATTCAATTAAAAAATATGTTATATGTTTTTACATGTACAATACCCCCTCAGTTTCGGGTGCTGTGGTTTCATATGACTAACGGTTAGTGTGTAGCAGCTCTTTGGAACTCCTTGCAAAAGTGAGCAGAGAAAAACAAAAGTGGTGTGGTGTAAGAGTTCTGTGTGAGATGAGAGTCATCTGATGAAAAAGCTGGTGATACAGAATGGGAAAGACTCACATCCTTCCGAAGGCAGGAAAGGGTGTGGTACCCTGATGAAGTTGGCTTTACGTGGCAAAGTTCAGTTGTGCAAAAGCTAACACGCCTTCTAGTGGAGAGGGAGGAAAAGGCCTGCTGGGTGCCAGTTTTTCTCTCAGAGACCCAGAGAGGTACATTATATGGAGATATAGGAAAACCCTCTTCTGTTTTCTTTTTCCTTGGGGAAAGTCTTTCCCAGGGTACCATCTGGACATCTGAAGGGAGGGGCATATTGGAAATGTGAAGAGGGTATGAAGAAGGGATGGAGTAGGAGTAGGTACATGAGGAAGTATTGTTGGGTATCACCAAAGGCCAACTTGACCTTGGTGGTCATGAGTGGAACGGTCCTCAGCTTTATGTATTTCTGTTCAGGTGCCAAAATTTCCATGTTGTTGGATGGGATCTCGGGAGGTGTTTTCTCCAGGTGAACAAGTTGAACAAAGACAAGAGCGAGAAATCCAAGGGTCCATGCTAGTGTGGTTGCAATGACGGAGAGTGGTCCAGTTGATTGTCAGGTGAAAAGGACGGGTGTGGAGGAGGAAAGGCTACATACAGAAGGTAGCAGGGTGAAGTCATGGTATTTGAGGGAGGAAGCTGCAGGGAGAAGGTGAGGTTAGGAGAAGCATGTGATGTGACACTCCAACATGGGGAAGGTATTTTATTAGTCATGACACAGAAATTAGCTATAGACAGAGGATAGGGTGGGGATCAGGATCCCTGAGGAAGACAGTCCCCAGAAGTTGAGAGGTGAGAGGCATGACAGCAAGTGAGTATTGAGGAGAACTAGCCTGGCCTGTGCCTTCTTGGACAAGAAAGAGGGACTCACAGGTGAGCAGAGAGGGTAGAGACAAGGAGAGGGTTCAGAGTCTGATGACACAAATAACAAAAGGTAATAAGGCATAATCTGAAGATAGAAACAGTAACTCCCTCCCACGCCTCCCATAGAGCGAAGCCTCTGCCCGCTGAGGAACTATGGGGAAGCAGTGCGCTGGGGAGATCCAAACAGCGAAGGAGGCCATCAGACAGAAAGCTGAGGGTGCAGGGCATGGGTGGGCCACCTGCTGCCAGATGAAGGTGAACAGAAATGCAGGCCTACGCTCATTTACACACTGCCAGTCTTCTGGTACAGACAGGCCTGAGCAGTGAGGACAGACACTACACAGCTCTCATGGTAACTGTTACCATCTGGCCCTTTCTAGATAATGATGGCAGACCCCTAGGCTAGGTGGGTGTGTGGGGGATGGGCGGTCTCAGCAGAAGGGAGCTGAAAGGAAGGACTTAGCCAAGAGAATACCTGATTAGGGATGGCCCAGAGTTCTAGGCATTTGGTGTCACTGGAAAGAAATAGAGAGAACAGCTTGTGTGACTCCATCATATCTAGGAAAGCTATACCAATCACTGTCAGCAAAGTGTGTCGGGTGATGTGTCTACATTAATGAGATCAGGGTTACTGGAGAAGTCCTGTGTTAGAATAGGGTCCACAGTCAGCCAAGTGATGGCCAGAGAAACTTTGGATCTTGAGTAATAGGCCCCTTAAATGATTTATGTACCAAGGACCAGTCAGAGGGACAGGGCCCAGGTGTAATTAGAGGCTTACTTTTGTAGGAGTTCAAGGTCAGGCAGGGCCAGGGTGCAGGGGTCATGGTCTGGGTAAAGAGTTTTCAAAGTATCTCCCATGGAAATCCTTAGGGGCAGGGACAGCTCTGACAGTAGGTCCATGGCTGAATGCCTTAGGCACTGAGCTACACACTTCTCAGGATAAAATTTTGATAAGGGTTTGGCTAAAAGAAGTTTTATGTAACATTTACAAGATCCAAACTGTCATGACCTTATCCACAGAGGCCACTGACCTGAACTCATGGGGGCTCATGAACTCTGGACGGACAGCTAGGGACCAACCTAGGCCCTCTGCACACACATGTGTGACAGTTGTGTAGCTTTGTCTGTGTGTGGGGCTCCTAGCAGTGGGATCAAGACCAGTCCCTGGCATTTATTCTGGCTTTTGGGAACCTATTCCCCATGCTGATTGCCTTACCCAGACTTGATGCAGGGGTAGGAGCTTGGTCCTGCTTCAACTTGACATGCCAAGCTTTGAGATAGAGGAGGGGTGAATGGGGTGGGGTAGAGAGGAAGTGAGGAGAGGGAAAAGGAGGAGAGGAGGGAGGGGAAAGTGCAATTGGGATGTAAAATAAATGAAAATTGTTAATAATAAAACAAATAAATAAAAATAGAAAATAAAATCCCAACTCATGTACCCAGAAAAGGAAAAAAGAAGTTTGACAGCCTGGGCAGACCATATCTGAGTCTCCAGCAAAAGTTTCCAGGGTTAGGAGAGTGGGCTGACAAGGGGAAGTTCTTTCCACTGAAGTCTACACCCCTGAAGCCCAAAGAATCAGAGGCCAGTCTGCAAGTTGGTCAAACAACATTCCAGATCTAAGCCAGATTGTGCCCACAGTGTACATGGAAGACAGCAACAGACTTACTGGAGGATAGGATGTTCACAAAATAGTATTCCATAAAGGGAACAGATGTCTTCTCCTTAGCTCCAGCTTGGAACACTTTAGTAAGGGTCTGCTTTTAATGCAGGAGGGATAGAAAATTCAAACATGCTGTAGGAGGTGCTCTTGGCTAGGAGCACCCAGAGTGTATCACCTGGATTAAAGGCTGTGCCCCTGATTCCTGAGGGCTTGCTTCCAATGTCCTGTTGGGCAGAGGGAATGACAAGTAGTTCTACAGCCAGGCATTAGAGATTTTAAGAGATGAAAATAAAAGTCCTGAGAAGCAGAGAAACAGAACCACCACCCTGAAAGGGTGCTGGGGATACAGCAGAAGGCTTTGAGCTGGCTAACATCTCCTGAACAGGGACCAACTGAAGAGCCCTTATTTCTTGGGTTGTGCAGGAGCAGGGGGTTCACAGAAAAGATTCTGAAGTCTCCTCTATGTTCATTCAGTCACACCCTCTTCTCATCAGACCAAGGAGACTACTCCACTTTGGGAAGGAAATACCTCTTATCTCATGCTACCAGAATGGCAATTAGACATACAAATGACACCTGGTTGTCATCACAGTCCCCTCTGATTTGTAGGAGGTCTCAAGATACCTGCCCAGAAGTAGTTGCAGAGGAAGGTACAGGAGGAAAGATTTCCCAAAAGACAGAGAGGCAAAGGAGGTGTGGCTAGAGAGAAGTAGTGACTCACATCCTCTGGGGGCAGGGAATATTTTCCTAGTTAGAAAGAGAAGCTAGGATTTAGACTTGATGTAAAACTCATAGCACTAATACCCCTTGTAACAGAAATCTAGTTGCTAAATATGACTTCATGTGAGATCAGTGAGGGACACTCAAAACACCATAGTAGTAAGATGAGCAAGGATTATTTGAAGGAATCCCAAGTCTGGATACTTCACAACTCAGCCCAGACCCCAGGAAAGGAGTAGAATATGGGCTGGCCCCATGAAAAGTCGGCTGAGTTACAGTAGTAAGAAGCCACATTCTAAGGGATGAAGCAGGGGCTAACAAGGTACAAATAGACAACTGTTGGCCAGTGATGCACTACCTCCTGAGGCCTGGTCAGGGAAGTGCTGAATCGCACCTGTGAGGCTCCTGTGTGAGGTCCCTCACTAGACTTGTCTAAACTTCCCATGCTCCAGGGAAGGCAATGAATGGGCAGGCCACATCTAACAACAGTCAACACTGTTGAGGAATAACTTTTTGTACACTGTGAAGATGTGACTTTGTCAAGGTGCCTTCTGATTGGTTTAATGAAGAGCTGAATGGTCAATAACTAGACAGGAAGAAGTTAGGCAGGACTTCCAGTCAGAGGGAGAGAGAGGAGGAGATAAATCTAGGTGAGGGAGAGATGATAGAGAACACAGAGAGGGCACAGGAGATGCAAGATGGAAGAAAGGTAAAATGACACAAGGCAAAAATGTAGAATAATATAAATGAGTTAATTTAAATTATAAGAGCTACTAGGGTGAGCCTGACTTATAGGCTTTCATAATTAATAATAACTCTCTGTGGGGGGTGTGTGTATGTGTGTATGTGTGTGTGTGTGTGTGTGTGTGTGAGAGAGAGAGAGAGAGAGAGAGCGAGAGAGAGAGAGAGAGAGAGAGAGAGAGAGAGAGAGAGAGAGAGAGAGAGAGAGAGAGCTGGTGGCCCAAAGAAAAATCCGTCTGCACAGCGCCTCAATAAGCATGAGAAGAAATACAGTGTCTACCTAAGGCAAAGGGTCCCTGCCAGTCCCAGAGCCTCCACTGTGCCCACAAGCACTCCTTCTTTTTGCATGTGTTATGGCTCCCAGGACACTTAGACCATGGGAAAGACATGAAGTTTCCAAAAGGCTTAGAGGGTTGAAAACAACTTACCTTTAAGATAGCTGTTAAGGTATTCTCAGCTCACACAGGCCTTGGTTTACTCTGGCAGGGGTCAAAGCAGTGAAACCCCTCACATAAATGCATCCTTCACCAATCTTTGAACCAGATCTAGACCTGGCTAATGACTAACAACCTCAGTGCTCCTTGTTTCTCTTGAGTTTACCCAATGTTCTTGTGGCTAAAGTACATCATTCGCTGCTCAAACCATGTGTGACAGAAAAGAATCTAAAACCTTAGGAGCTGTCTGGATCGCCGAGGACAGGGAAATCCCCAGAAAGACCACTTTTGCTCCTGTGTCATTTTCTGCACTGACAAACAATTAGGTGCTCATCAAAATAATGAGCAACAGGTGCTCTGGGGAAGCCACCATGGCCTGGTTCTCCGCAAGGACAGCACAAAGGGTTCACCGAAAATAAGCTCCAGGGATAAGAGCCTCCTGACATCCTGCACTTGGCACCAGAGCCTGCCAGACTTGGGAAAAATAATTGGCAGAGTGGCTGCCCTGGAAGGGACTGCCAGGCCTCCAGCAGTGCCAGCTCTCAGGAGCTGCCATGTGGTTGGTGGGAGCTGCTGTAAAGGTAGTTCCGTTCTAAAAAGACTCAAGTATGGCTGGGGTCCACCACTGTCTTCATGCAGTATGCTTCACTCATATACGTAGGCCCATTAGGAGCAGGCATTTGATGGTGAACCTTTTGGTTCTATTTTTTCAAGTGTCTGAGCAAGGCAACACTTCACTCAAGAGGGTGAGCTCTGATCAGCAAAACACAGAGAGACAGGAGGGACAGTTGGTGTTCCTTCTAATGCAGGTGGTTACTGTGTCTTTTCCCACAGTCTGGGGTCTGACTTCAGTGAGAGCTGTGGGGAGGGTCTTAATATAAGGAGGTACACAGGAAATGAAGCAGGGAGGGGTCAGTCATTTTAATTGAGAATGTAGCAGGGTTTTCGTGTAAACAAAGGCTGTGGGGGTGGGTGGGATGAAAACATTTGCCTAAAAGTTTTACAAGTTGGGGAAGATTTAAAGCAAAAATCTGAATTCCTTACCACAAGTTATACAGTGTTTGATAGAAAAGACCAGAGTAAATGTTTTTTACAAATCCCTCTTCTCATTTTGGGACATTGTTCTTCTTCAAAGTAATTAAGATGGTGCCATTTTTCTAGCTATCTTGTAGAAAGAAACTGCAATAGGGATGGGGTGCCTTAGTAATGGTTGACTCAGCATATCGGAGTTAGTCCTCCAGCACAAGAATTCACTATTCCATCTATTTCACCAGCATGGTTTAAAGTGAGCCTGCCTCCCAGGGGTGGTCCCTTGGCCAGGACATGGGCCTGGTCCCACTGGAATGTTCAGTGTCCACTCATGGCAGGAAGAGTTTTCTCTTAACAGGCCCTCATTGCCACTTTCACTTTGTGCCTCCCTTAAAGGGTGACCCTAGAATCTTTTAGGAACCAGCTAGCGATCAGAGCTCCCCAAACACTCTCAGCACAGATGAAGCCATCAGGAGTCCCGAGGGCATTTCTGGCTTTTAGTCAAGAGAGACACTGGTCATTTCTCTCTGTGGAATTTACTAATGATGCTTCCAACTTTTAAAACTTAAAGTCGATGCAAGCTTTTGGTTTTTTAGTTTCATAATTTTAATTTTGAGAATTTCTCTCTCTCTCTCTCTCTCTCTCTCTCTCTGTCTCACACATACACACACATAAAATTATACATGCCCCTGCTTCTTTACCCTTCCAGCTCTCCCATATCCCTCCAATATATTTCCCTCTCAACTTTATATACTTTCATTTATAAATTACTGAGTCCAGCCAGCCAGTACTACCCATATGTATAGGAGTGTAGGTCTATCCACTGGAGCATGGAAAACTTACAGTGCCCACACCCTCAAAAAAGAATAATTCTCCTTCTCCCAGCAGCTAGTAACTGCTCGGTAAGGCATGGGCCCTGGGGATCATTGGCCCCAACTATGCTGGTATTTGCTTTTTGTTGTGCAGGTAATGACAGTTGCCATGAGTTCATGAGTGCAACAGCCAAGTCATGTCCACAGGACAGCAAAGCTCATACAACTCCTTCTCTACTCTCACATTCATTTTCTCTTTTGCAATGTAACTTAAGCCATGGTGGTGGCGGCAGTGGTGCGGGTGGTAGGTGTTGGCGGTGGGTGTTGTTGATGGTGGTGGTAGTAGAGGTTATGGGGTTGATGTAGATATCCCGTTTAGGACTGAGCTCTCAGTTTCTTATTCTCAATGGCTTCCAATTTTTGTTTAGAGTCCCAACACACTATTATAGAGTGGCATGCTTGGGGTGTATCTGGCCTGGGTTTGGTTATCCATCACCTCCACTTTTCAGACTTCCTGGTTTTCTTTGCACCCAGTTATCTCCAGCAGTCTGGTTTTCTGGAGCCGCAGCACAAAGCCCGCTGTGAAGGTGAGGATGGGGATGGGTGGTACGCATGCGTGTCCTCCACAGTCTGGCAGCAGAGTGCATGCTCCCAACATGTCCCAAACTCATAGGTTGCATGTACTAGCAAGCTAAGTAATGGCCCAGGGATATAGCAGAGAAGGGCCAGATATCAGTTGAAAATGAATACAAGTCCTTAAACATAAAGGCTTTCCTCATCTGCAAACAGAGTGCTGGCCCTGAACACTCAGAGTCATGTATGTGCATGTGTGTGTTCATGTGTATACACATGGATGTCTCTGTATATGCATGCATATGCACACAAAAGTGACCTGTGGGAGGGGTGATACGTTTATACTTTCTCTCTTGGGAGACAGTCTGAATGCAAAGTGATTTTGAACAGATCCTTCGCTGTGCCCGAAGGCACGTTCAAGTTAGATCAAATCAGAGGTAGGAATACAGAGGGGAAGAGGCATGGGGGGCAGGTAAGGTTAGGAAAAGGAACAAAACTTATGCACTTACCCTACGACCACAATTATAAAATCTAGTAAATTCCAACCATTTCGGAGGTAAGCGTTGGGGTGAAAGAGAAGTCCATAGGCAATTACTTTTAAAAATGCTTCCACCGTAAAAATGATGAGAAATAGATACTCCACTCGTTCCTAGGAAACAAAAATAGAAAAGAGAGAAAAACAAGTCATTAACTACGGAATCTGGGAAGTTCAGACACAGCAGAGTGCATAGCACCGGTACACTCGGCTTCAGCCTGCCATACACGGTACACTCAGTGTGGTCCCGACAAAGCGCATGGCCTGTAACGTCACAGGTGTCACTGCTTGTAAAAGAACACTGTGATGTTTGCTCAGTGACAAAGTGGCTTAGTGATATGCTTCCCAGAATGCAATGCTGTGGCCAGCAATGGTGAGCACAGGTGGAGGAGTGCTGGACATGCAGCCTGCAAGCTGAGGAAATCCACAGCCTGCTCCAACACCAGAGCTCCAGCTCATGGAGCATAAAGAATTTTGTTGTTTTCAAATGCCACCACTGTTAACGTAAATTAAGGCAATGCAAAAATCCACATTCTTCCTTCTACCCCCAAAGTCTCATTTAACCAGCTAACATTTTGCTGTGCCTTCTAAAGTGAGAACTCATATAGTCTTTATCTCCAGGGGAATGACACCAGGACAGCAGGGCTGCTGAGAAGTGGGTGAGCTGAGTCCTAGCCCCAAGGGCAGCAGGCAGGCTTTGGTGAGGGGACTAGCTGACATCCAAAATAAAAACAAAAACACTGCCCCAGAGACACTGAGGGTGTCAACAGTAGCCCCAAGAGAGGTAATATGTGGTTCCAGACATTTGAGATCTCTCTTGTGGGGAAATAGCTCTCTGTCCAAAGACATATTATAGGTGACTAAAAAAGTCTGCTTTTTTCCCAAGGGGCAGAACTGCCTTTTCTCCCCTAACAGCTAGAGAGAAGACTGGTGCTTAGCATGCAGCTCTTATCCCAACCACACTCAGCGGAGCCGACTCCTGCTGCTCACGTCTTCCCCTTAACCTCTGTCCCCTCGCCCTACCTAGTACACCGGTGGCACTACCTGCTAGAGACTGCTTGGCTGCCTTCAGGCCCCACTGCTCATCCTCGAAGGAGCCTCAGGCTGCCTCCTCCTGGAGCCGAAAGGCACAAGCAACAGTGACCCAGGTCACAAAGCAGGCCAGGCCAGCTCACAGCCTCCAGGAGGCTCACAGCTCAGAATCCTATTTCCCATTTCCCCCTCCTCTACTGGGCTAAGGGGAGTTCACTGAAGACCTCCGGGACCACACACATACAAGCCACATACCAGAGAGGACCACGGCCCATGAAGGTCTGCCACCTCCCATGAAGGCCTTCCGTGGGGGGTACTCTGACCCAGGGGCTCTGGGGCCCAGTGGAAAATTAGGCCAGAACAGAAGGCCAGTGGATCTTGCTACTCTTCTCATCCCTTTACATTCAGGGAGCACCAGGCTCACTGTGAGTAGTCCTGGCCAAACAATTTGAGGCTTCAAGCTATAGCTTGAGGATGGTGGGAGAAGTAGCTGTCAGTCCATCTCCACCCCAGGATAGCTCAGATCTGCATTTCAGCACCAGGTGACAATTCCGTGCCCATTCATGCTCCCCCAAACCTCTACAACTCCACTTCCATCCATACTCCCCCACCCTCCACAGAACCTCACTCAGTTGAAGGTGATGAGGAGAAAATGAAAGAGAACAAACCCGAGTTGGGGAGGCACCACTAGGTTTCGCGTGTTTCCATATTCCCACAAACACTCATTGCTTTTGTTTTCGTCACTTGCCCTCCCCATATCCAACTACTATGCATGCACCTTTCTTCCCACTCATCCATGTATGCATCTACCCATCGACCCATTCATTATCCATCCATATGCATATCCAAACATTTAACTATGAATATGCCCATGCTTCCATCCATTCTGTCATTTACCTGTCCATCTCTCTCAGTCATTCATGACCACTATGCTATAATCAGATGCACTGACAGAAACTGACCCTGGAGTTTCCTCTCATCTGTCTAGACAATAAGCTTTCTGGAAGAGACAGCGCCTAGATTCAGATGTTACCCCTCCTCAGGGAGAGCTGCTGCAATGTTCCAAAGGTTCCTAGGGCTCTATATTCTGGGAAATCCAAATTCCTAGATGGCTTTAGTAAGCAGCTGGGACCCTTGAGCCAGACTACGTGGCACCAAGAAGTCTGTTTATTTCCCACATGCACAGGCTGCTTCGTTTTCCTGGCACGAAAAGAGAGCATCGCACAGAGGTGGGCCCTCCGGTGTGGTGCAGATGCACACTGTAGGTTTGCTCATCCCGGGTGTGACACACCACTCTGCTCCACGAAGCTTGAGAAGGAAGGGTGGGAGATATGCCCTCTCTTACCGAGCGCTGGCCTACATAAGTTGTCCCAATGAAGCCTGTTCTTTCTTCCACACTGAGCTGAATCAAGCCTTCACACAGACCGTCACAAACATATGTATGTGTAGTGTTGGATGCCGTCAATACTCTGGGGTGGGGGGAAGGCTCTGAAACTGACCTCAGTGATCTGCTACAGCAGAGCAGGAGCTGTGCATGCGCAGATAGTAGGCAGTGCCAGCACGCAGTGAGTGCTGCTGTGCATGCGCAGATAGTAGGCGGTGCCAGCACGCAGTGAGTGCTGCTGTGCATGCTCAGATAGTAGGCGGTGCCAGCACGCAGTGAGTGGTGTTGCTGTGCATGCACAGATAGTAGGCGGTGCCAGCACGCAGTGAGTGTTGCTGTGCATGCTCAGATAGTAGGCGGTGCCAGCACGCAGTGAGTGGTGTTGCTGTGCATGCACAGATAGTAGGCGGTGCCAGCACGCAGTGAGTGGAGCTGTGCATGCGCAGATAGTAGGCGGTGCCAGCACGCAGTGAGTAGTGTTGCTGTGCATGCGCAGATAGTAGGCGGTGCCAGCACGCAGTGAGTGCTGCTGTGCATGCGCAGATAGTAGGCGGTGCCAGCACGCAGTGAGTGCGGCTGTGCATGCTCAGATAGTAGGCGGTGCCAGCACGCAGTGAGTGCTGCTGTGCATGCGCAGATAGTAGGCGGTGCCAGCACGCAGTGAGTAGTGTTGCTGTGCATGCGCAGATAGTAGGCGGTGCCAGCACGCAGTGAGTGCTGCTGTGCATGCGCAGATAGTAGGCGGTGCCAGCACGCAGTGAGTGCTGCTGTGCATGCGCAGATAGTAGGCGGTGCCAGCACGCAGTGAGTGGAGCTGTGCATGCGCAGATAGTAGGCGGTGCCAGCATGCAGTGAGTGGTGTTGCTGTGCATGCGCAGATAGTAGGCAGTGCCAGCATACAGTGAGTGCTGCTGTTCATGCGCAGATAGTAGGCGGTGCCAGCACGCAGTGAGTGCTGCTGTTCATGCGCAGATAGTAGGCGGTGCCAGCACGCAGTGAGTGGTGTTGCTGTGCATGCGCAGATAGTAGGCGGTGCCAGCACGCAGTGAGTGCGGCTGTGCATGCTCAGATAGTAGGCGGTGCCAGCACGCAGTGAGTGCTGCTGTGCATGCTCAGATAGTAGGCGGTGCCAGCACGCAGTGAGTAGTGTTGCTGTGCATGCGCAGATAGTAGGCGGTGCCAGCACGCAGTGAGTGGTGTTGCTGTGCATGCGCAGATAGTAGGCGGTGCCAGCAAGCAGTGAGTGTTGCTGTGCATGCTCAGATAGTAGGCGGTGCCAGCACACAGTGAGTGCGGCTGTGCATGCTCAGATAGTAGGCGGTGCCAGCACGCAGTGAGTGCTGCTGTGCATGCGCAGATAGTAGGCGGTGCCAGCACGCAGTGAGTGCTGCTGTGCATGCGCAGATAGTAGGCGGTGCCAGCACGCAGTGAGTGCTGCTGTGCATGCGCAGATAGTAGGCGGTGCCAGCACGCAGTGAGTAGTGTTGCTGTGCATGCGCAGATAGTAGGCGGTGCCAGCACGCAGTGAGTGCTGCTGTGCATGCGCAGATAGTAGGCGGTGCCAGCACGCAGTGAGTGCTGCTGTGCATGCGCAGATAGTAGGCAGTGCCAGCACGCAGTGAGTGCTGCTGTGCATGCTCAGATAGTAGGCGGTGCCAGCACGCAGTGAGTGGTGCTGTGGGCAAGCACAGCTGGCCATGGAAGAACCAAGTCGGGGTTTGAGTTGACTCTGCAAGGATGAAGAACGCTGGGAAGTGGGAACACAGTGTGGCTTGCAGGCCCGACATTCTAGGAGCAGAGAGACTGAAGCAGGAAGATAAAACCATGGAGAAAATTCAAGCAGCTATAATGCAGTGTGTTGAGAACAGACCCATATGGTAGCAAGAGCAAGATAGCTAGGGGCTTGTGGACATGACTGAACACTGGGGGCCAGTAGGGGGAGGGATCCATGCAGAAGCTACAGGCTGGACAGGTCTGGGATATACTGGTGATGAGGCATACAGAGGGATGGCTTGGTGCAGAGCTCAGCTGACAGGTAGGACTCAATGACGTCTCCCAGGGAGGGTACAGACGAGGGAGAGGAAGTCTGCAGGATGATCCAGTGCAGTAAGGAAGATAGGAAAGCAAGTGTACATTCTGGCAGATGTGATCGGATCCTGCTTAAAGTCACAGAGTGGCCTAATTAACCTCTTCTGTGACACTGCCTCTGTGACACTGAAGAGACTGAGGTCAGGGAGAAAGGAGACAAATAGGAGGATGGGAACCCAGGCTTCCTGACATTCATTTAGTCCAAAGATCTTTTCAGCTCATGTTGCCTTTTAGGACCCACAGAAACTTTTCTCACTGGCCCCCATTTACTCTCCAAGAATCAGTTCAAAGCCCTCGTGGTAAGTTGTCTAAAGATTCGAGATACAGCCGAAAGGGGCCCAGCACTTGGGAGGCAAAGCAGGCAAATCTCTTGAGTTCTTAGCCAGCCATTTTCTAGCTGGTCTACTGACAAATGGTGGCCCATGGTTACACTCAAGTCTGAAATATTTAGATGAACTGAGTGGAAAGGGTCATGCGTTCAGGAACATGACATTTTCCAAACACCTCATAGAACTTGACATGGATATGTATGGGATTTCTTCATCTTCCATTTGTCTTTCATTTGTGTATGGCTTACCCATTCAACTATATGGTAGGTTCTCAAGGGACA